TGCAAGGCAGAAATCGTCCCAGTACTCATCTGCTCCGCTGTGGTACTGACTGGGATCCTCCACATCTCGTAGGTCTGCGAGTGCGTCCGAGATCTCAATGAGCTGCTCATCGAAGAGAGCGTAGCGTGGCGCATTGGTGAGACAGTGATAGATGTAGGAAAATTCCACTGCAGGAAGCAAAAGTCGCTTTTGTTTGATGAACTTCTTGGCTTTGCGTGCGCAGTACTTTTCCATTGGGATGGACTTGCCCGCAATGCGCTGCATAGCATCGGGAACGGTTCTGAAAAGGGCCGCTGCAGCCTTGTCGTCTTTGCCGCATTGCAGCAGATTCACCGCGCGGCCGTAGTTGTACACTGCCTTGCTCCAATTCGACTCCTTCAGCAAGACTGTGAAGCAATCGTAGGCTTTTTCCCATTGAGCCAAACTCATGTGGCAAAGGCTCATGTCCCAGAAGCAAATGTGTTGCAGCTGAACGTATTCCTTTTGCACGTCGCGCGCAGCACCGAACTGCACCACAGCCCTTTCGGCGAGGGCTTGAGTCGAGTAAAGACGTCCAGAGAAGTACAAGAAGAAGACACCCTGGGGGTATCGATCAAGGTTGTAGTGGAGCACCTTGTCCGCAAAGTCGATGTCTGTGCCGTTGACCGGAATAAAGGTGGAAATGACCAGATGGTAAAGGAGGATACCCATGTCGCACACTTGTCGACGCAGTCCTTCATCTTCGATGCGCATGGCGGGCTCAGTCTTGCGCTTGTCTTGACTCCAGCCACCGGCTCGGGACAGGGTTTTGAGGGCCCACTGAGTGTCGCCAGTGTAGCCAAAGACTTCCATGATCTTCAGCACCTTGCCGGGCAGGAGGCCGAGGATCATGCTGATCAAGCCGTTACCGAGGTATACTCCAGAGCGGAAATCCTCGTCGACACTCTTGTCACGTGAACCCGAAGCTTTATCATCTGCCCACTCAACGTACTTGGACAATGAGCGGTAGATGCCGTACGCATTGCGCAAGTTGAGCGCCTCGGAGACGAATGCAAAGAAGTCTCCCGAGTACAGAACTACGTATGGCGGAAGCGAACGAACGGATGAGCGAAATCAGTCGTGCAGCCTCGCTTCGCCATATCATGCAAGCACTCACTGCCCATGACTGCCTTGAGCAGCAAGCTCTCAGCGTAAACTAGCTCGGCGTGTCTCTGCACCTTGGACATTCCTGCCATGGTACTAGCGCTTTGACCTGTGCCGCGCACGAAACGACCAAAGTTTGCAACGGTGCTGGAAGGCTTGCGGAGCATGTTGGCAATGACTAGAGTATCCTTGCAGTAGGAGATCGCCTTTGCTAAGTCTTCCGGCTCGAAAGTCTGTCGTCCGATTTCCACATCAGCACTGGCTTATGCGCGTCTCCGCCACTAGCTACTCACCATGATACCCTTGATCACCGCAATGAGAGCATCTCCCAGGGCGTAATAGAGTTTGCGATCGCTGTGCTTCTTCATGATTTCCTCTGCTTCAATCATGCGCGAGTTCAAGAATAGATTGAGAGCGTGCCTCGCGACTTTGATGTCGTCCTCCATCTCGTCTTCCTCCAGAGCAACATCGTCAAAGGTGAGGCGCTGTACGCGAGCGGCCTTCTCGCGCACATACAGAGGCGTCTCCTTCTTTGCTTTGACATCTGCGGGCGTCGAAGTCTCGTCGCCGCCGACCGGCACGCTGCCACTGCGTCGCTTGGCGCCAGAAGTTCCGCGTAGAGACGAAGGAGCGAGCGAAGCAGTTGTCGTCTCGGGCGAGCCGGAGCGTGGCCCACCATACGTGCTGCTTGCTGCACTCGCGCCACCGAGAGCAGCTTCAGAGAGGCCGCGGTGCATGCCCTGTCGATGCGACTGCTTGCGGGTGTGGTGATCCTCCTCCTCTTCGTGCTCTTCAATGTCCGCTAGCTCAGCGTCGTGAAACTCGTCGGACTCGTCATCGGAGTCGTCATAGCCATTAGCCTGTTGTTTCTGTTTAGACTCTGGTGTGCTGTCCTGAGTGCCCAGAACCTTGCTCGCAACAGCAGTCGCACCTGCAGCGACGGCTGCACCTGCTCCGACCGCGGCGCCTGTGGCAGCTCCAACAGCCGAGCTCAGATAGCCTTGTTGCTGACTTCCATCGCTCGGGTCCTTCTTGTGCAAGTCGCCACTTGAAGGTTTGTGACTTAGGATACTGTCGATGCGAGAAGTGGCCTGAGCATCCAGAGCGGGAG